AGCAGAAAATAGCAAACTTCTACAACAAACGAGTTCGACCCCGAACATTCAAAGTAGGAGACCTTGTCCTCAAGAAAGCTGGTCTGACGGGGTTCGAAACTCGATTCGGCAAGTTGGCACCAAACTGGGAAGGCCCCTATACTGTTGCCGAAGTGCCGCATCCAGGTGCATATATCCTACGGGACACTGAAGGCAACCGGGTTCCTAGGGTCTAGAATGTCAATAATTTGAAGAAATTCTACCCTTAGCACACTTCTTTCCAGTAAACTTTGTTTTAACCAACATTATTCTGATTGCTATAATGAATTTCACTTCGCATTCGAAGTAATTCAGTTCTTTCTACACTTCTGTACTTTGGAAGTTAATTCCTTATGGCTTATTTAGTCCCTTCATTTTTTGGGATACGATTACGCTTCACTTATACTGGTTTTACTTCATCTTTCATTTGAGGTCTACCTCGTGCATGTCCGAAGTCAATCCCTTTACTATTCACTTTACTGAATCCGAGGTCTGTTCCTTATGTTAATTAAGGTAACTTTATTTCATCTGAAGTAATTCACTTGGAACAAAAATACCAAACACGCATCAAAATAACTTCAAAACAAAATTTTATGAATTCATAAACAATTTATAACAAAATTGTTTTTACAAGAAAAATTCTAAACTACTTTGCTGGAGGAGGAGGCTGCTCCTCCGCAGGGAGTGGGGGTTGAGACGGTGCATCTCCAGTAGGTAGGGGCGGCACTTCTGCCTCAGGAAGGGCCAGCAGCTGCACCTTGTCAGAGGAGACTGGCTGCACTTCGGGAGGCCGCACTTCGGCCATTGCTGCCTGATCCTCAACTCCAGCGCCTTGCGCTCCTTCTTCTTCTTCTTCTTCTCCCTCCACGGCCACCAACTCAGCATCAAAGGTTGGAGGAAAAATGGTGCGCCCCTCTGCATCACGCTCCCACCTTAGAGTAATCTGAGGACGGAAGTCAGCACAGAGACTCTCACCATCTTCCTCCACTCCTTCCTCTTGTTCCCCAAAGGTGATCGTTGTCACGTCCACCTCTGGGTACTGGGCCTTCACCTTCTTTCTACAGTCGGTGAAGGCCAGGATGGCGGTTGGCAGCCGGTAGAGTTTGAGGATGCTCTCGAACGTGTTGGAGTTGAGAGGAAGTTGCAAATGTGTTCCTCCATCCCGTTGTGCACCAGCAGGTTCACGTTCTTCTTAAGCTCCGCTGCTCCTTTCCTCATATTGTCGATATACTTGTCCTGAGCCTCGAGCTTCTCCTCACAGATCTTTCTCTTGCGTTCTTCGAGGCCAAGTTCGTGCTCAGGACAACGTTCTCGTTCTGGAGCTCAGACACTAAAGGGAGAACTTCGTCCAGCCTCCTCTGCATCTCCCTCTTCTCCTTCTCCCATTCCCCTTTCTCCTTCTGTAGCTCTTCATTCTCCTTCTGCAGCTGCTCGCACTGCCTCTGCAAGCTGGCACGCTCTCTCAAGCTCTCCGCGTACTCCTGTGCCAAAGCGTTTGTCCAGCTTGCACTCTGTAAGGTCAGCAGAAGTCAGGCTTCGAACACAGGAGTAAAAATAAAACAAGACTTAACTTACAGCTCCCTTACATACCTCCAGAGCATGCCTCACCACAGTAGCTCCCAGCCGACTCACCGCCTCATCCCTCGCCCTTCTCCTATCCACCTCAGGGAGAGTACGGTTGAGGAAGTGCTTTGCCCCAGTCGTGTTTGCGGCCTCAAACAGACTCTTCTCGTGCACATGAGGAGGGATGAGCTCCTTGCCCTTGCCAGGACCTCGCACCTCGGCCTCTTCCCCCTCCCTAATTTCAGGATCGATTTCAAGAGCAGAAGGGCGAGGCACGAACTCAGTCACCTCATCCCCCCTCACCTCTGGCTTAGCCACCTTCCTCTTCTTTCTCTGAAGTGGGGCTACCTCCTCACTCACCCCTTCACTACTACCCCCCCTTGCTGGCTCTAGCCTCTGCTGTATCTCCAGCACTTGAGCAGAAGTGCTAGGCAGGCGCTCTTTCTCGGGCACCCCTCTGTTCGCCGCAGCTGAAGTCGTTGACTTCTTCCTTGGCTTCTTTGGGATGCGCAGCCCTCCAGCAGCACCGACAAACTCCTCCATCTCAGCTGCAGAGCAAAAGCAAATGTCAAAACACAATAACTGGAAACTCAATTAAGCTGCAAACGCTAACAACATACACAAACCTTCGCTCAATGAGCTTGGCCCATAGAGCTCAGCGGCCTCTATCGCCTCCGGGCTGGTGAGGTACAGGATATCCACTATGTCCCCATCTTCCCTCACCAGCTTCTTCACCTCCTCCACCTCATCCTCATTCAACTTATAGTTGTTCTGCTTGGTTTTCTTCGCTTTCCAAGCAAACAACTGTTCCAC